TCCCGACGTCGGCTTTCGGAAACAAGTGGATCGTGGTAGCTATTGACTACCTCACTCGCTACGCCGAGACAAAAGCCCTTCCCAAAGGCAGTGCATCCGAGGTAGCTAAGTTCTTCGTCGAAAATATCGTCCTACGTCACGGCGCCCCGCAGGTCTTTATCAACGACAGTACTCAAGCGATCTCGGCATACAGCCAGACAAACCACCGCCAGACGACCGCGTAGCACCCACAGACCAACAACCTCACCGAGCGGCTTAACAAGATGATCGCCAACATGCTAGCAATGTACGTCGATGTCGAACACAAGACGTGGGACGCCATTATTCCGTACGTGACCTTCGCATACAACACGGCGGTGCAGGAGACGACGCAGATATCTCCATACAAATTGGTCTACAGAAGGAGCCCGGCAACGACGCTCGATGCCATGTTACCCAACGTCACCGACGAAGAAAACCTCGATGTGAGCGAGTACCTTCAACGCGCCGAAGATGCCCGACAACTTGCGCGTCTCCGTATCAAGAATCAACAGACGACCGACAGCCACCGTTACAACCTTTGACGACGCTTCGTGGAATACCAGCCCGGTGAACGTGTTTGGGTGTGGACGCCGATACGCCGACGTGGACTAAGTGAAAAGCTTTTGCGACGGTACTTCGGACCGTACAAGGTGGTTCGACGTCTCGGTCCACTTGATTACGAGGTTGTCCCCGACGGCATCACGAACTCTCAACGACGCCGATCGCGACCTGAAGTCGTCCATGTCGCGCGCCTCAAGCCGTTTCATGCACGTTAACAAACTGAAACAGTGTTTTTTGTATTATTGTTGTATTGTAATTTATTCATTGTACTTTCTTGCATTATTATTGTACCTTCATCTTTAGTTAAAGCATCGGGACGATGCCTTTTTTCAGAGGGGGGCAATGCCACGTTCCATTTCACAAGCTTTTGTTATCGTTCTGAAACACCACACGATTCTCGGCGCAAACCGCGCCTGCAGTTTCGAGAAGGTTCCGGACTGTAGCAGATCATTTCGATAAGATCACGCCCACTGTGCGAACGGTACAGATTGTTCTGGAACCTACGCCACCGCCAGCGATAACGCTAGAACATTCAACGGCAAGGGTATAAATGCCGACGCGCTTCGCCGCTTGTCAGTTGTTGATCGTAGGCCAACGCAGCGTTCACCGCTATCAGTCCGAGACTGTGCTATCTGTGCAAGACTGCTGTTGTAATTAGACCTTCCCTTTACCGGGCACAGGTTCGCCCAAATAAACAGTTAAATCCCAACACGAAGTTTCCTGTCTTTGGCCACGTCACGACCCCGTGACAATATGCAATGGCTGCTAATGAGGATCGCAGCGTGCACGTTAACTAAAAGCCGAATGCTCCTGTCTCTCATACCCCATTATCAGCTATTGGCATGCACATTGAGCACTATTTTTGGTTGTTCAACAACGCACAGAAGGAATCTCTCACCGGCACCGCCTTGGAGGTCAAATATTTGCAGGTCAAAGCGTAAGACTGGTTACATACTACGACGGGACGCGGGACGAATGGGTGCCGCTATACGCCCCTAAAAAATGTGCAGATTTCGAATCATGGAGATTAATAGAAAGATAACCGATGACCTAAGAAATTGTGGTGCTTGATCTAATACATATAAGTATTTAAACAAAGAAACAAATTTATTCTTTACACAGAGCAATATCCTGATTTTTATACGTATATAATCTTGTAGACACGTAAGGATCCTTGCGAGGCAGTGAAAAAATACAGATTCAAATTGTCAGCCCTGGTCAGCAAATACTTCTTCTGGAATTTCATATAATAGGACTTTAACAATACCTTTGGCGATGGTTTAAGCCGTAATATCGCTGATTAGTGCTGCTTCTGGCCACCTGGTAAATCTGTCGACAATTGGTAGTACCAGAGTCCTTCAATACTTTTCTGGTCACGAAACTTCTCCGTAACGCTATGGGAGAGCTTCATATGGGGATCAAAGCTCCCGCGCGGTGGCGCTACGAGTCTGGTGAAGGTAGAGTGCCTCGATGCGCGCGCCCCCGCGCGGGCATCAAGGCACCCTAGGTGAAGGCGACTTGGACGGCGGCGGCCGCATTTGCAGCGTTTGCAGTGCGTTGGAGCGCGAGCTTACTGGTTTGTTTGTTGTGTGGTATAGCTGTCTACACTCATCACGGACGGCAAACTATGTGAACTACCATGCCTCTGACGTGCTGCGTACCTGGTTGCCGCTCTGGCTATCAGAGTTGTACAGAAAAAGCTTCGCTGTTCTGCCTCCCAAGCGACCGCGAACAACGCGACAGGTGGAAGCGAGCCATTCCACGACAGGAGACGGGCGCTTTCAACTTCGAGTCGAAGGCCATTCGTGTGTGCGAGAAACATTTCGACACCACGGACATTATTCGAGCCGATGAGTTCAGAATAAGTGGACAATCTGTGCTTCTGCAGCGCGAGAAGCCTAAGCTCCGCGTCGGTGCCATACCCCGGATATTTGAAAACCTGCCGGCGTATCTTACGAAGCCCAAGCCACGGTCGCGCTCACAGCGAGAAAATCCGCCTGCAAAACGTCGTCGCGTTTCGTCGCCGAACAACGATGGCACTGCAGCTTCTGTGAGCTCCAGCACAGAGCCCTGCGATCCTGAAGCAGCCGGAGATGATGGTAAGCCTCCATTCGCGTTGCCTTGTTTTCTTGTTTCACTATGTTGAGAGCCTGTATTGCCTGTGTGCTGCGTGATGTCGCATTATATTGATTCATATTTCTTCGTTTGACAGGTGGAGTGATAAGCACTGGAAGCTGCACAGAGGTGGCATGCCAGACAGAGGGAAATGTCTGCTCCATCTCAGAGCTCCACGCAGTTAAAGACCAGCTTCGAAGCACTAAGCAGCAACTTCGTTTGTGCCAAGTGAAGATTGCGAAATTGACAGTGCAAGCGAATAGGAGCAGAAGATCGCACCAAGACGTTCAGAAAATTTCGGCTCGCGAGAAGCTCATTTTTGACCACTGGCTCATGAAAGCCAACGCGAAGTCTGCAACAGCTGCGCGGTAAGTTCCAAATACCCCATCACACACGTAACATTGCTATTGGATTGCCCCTTTTGCGTTTGAAAATGTTATCTCAAGGTGTAGCCTTCATTTATTCATCATGTATTTGTATCTGTTGTACCACAAAACAATATGCTATTGAGGCAGACATTGGTTTGGCCGTTTTGTGTAGTGTTATTTCTAATTTCGGGGAAAATTGCAGGTTTGTTTGGGCAAATATACTTTCTTCAGTTTATATAACACCATTCTCATTATTTTTTGCTTTGCATGAATAGTTTCCAACACGCTCATTGTGGAAAACAAATTTGCAATTCATTCTCTCCAGGTACAAAAAAGAGTGGATTTATGACTGCTTGCTGCTAAAGATAAAGTCCACAGCAGTCTACACTTTTCTTTATGAAAATGAATTTTTGCCCCTTCCAAATCCCCGCACCCTCTATGGCTACCTCAGAAATCTGAAAGCTGATTTTGGCTTCGACAGCACTTTGTTCACGGTTCTGTGTGAAAAGCTAGAAGCAGTTCCAGAAAGAGAGCGTCGAGGTAAGAAGCAGTACTCATTTTTATAATTGTATTATATTCAGCAGCGCAATTGAGACAAGATGTTAACCTACCCAAAACTTTCCAGGAGGGCTCATGTTCGATGAAATGAGCGTCAGAAAAAGCGTCCACATTCGCGAGTCGGACATGGCACTGCTGGGCAAGGTGGATTTCGCCGCACACACACGACCAGGTGACCATGGCAAAGACGGCGACCACGTGCTGGTCTTTCTGTTTCGGCCTTTTCTGGGAGGGTGGTCACAAACTGTGGGCACATTTTGTGCTTCTGGTGCTGCCCCAGGATCAATCGTGGCGAAGCTCCTTTTGCAGTGCATTGTTCACCTTACAAACGCTGGTGTTGTTGTTGACGCAGTGACCTGCGACAACTCCACATCAAACCAATCAGCCTTGAGATCTCTGGGTACGTCTTTTCAAATTTTATTTAGCTGTGGTTAGTGATGTAGTAGAAAAACAAGTGTACTATTAAACTGTTTTTCTCTCAAGGTGTCAACGGGGACATGCACAAGCTTCAAACGTGTTTTGAACACCCGTGTGAGCCCTCAAAGCAAGTCCACGTTGTAATTGATTCACCGCACATATTTAAGTGCATCAGAAACAACTTGCTCAAAGTGGGCAAGTTTTTGGTAAGTAAAAAAAAGTTGCATGTGAATGCCTTGACCTGTGCATAAACTATTCAGTTTAAAAAAAAATTTGTCACTTGTCCTTATGTTGCAGCTCCCTCAAGGACAGGAGGTGTTCCACTGTCACTACAAGGACTTACTGGACTATGAAGAAGAACAGGCTGGACTCCGGGCTGTACCGAAGTTAACGAAAGCCCATATTTTCCCCAATGCGTTCCAAAAGATGAGCGTGAAGTTAGCTGTCCAGGCAAGTCATGCACGCAGCTATGTTCAGTGCAAAGTGTATTTCAAAAACATCTGCTCACACGTTTTGGGAAGTAAACTTAAAATCCTTTTTTTCCACACATTTTACAGCTGTTCAGTGAGAGTACTGCTTCGGCCATGGAGTTTTATAGCGAGCAGGAAGACTGCAAGAAGCTCCATGGGTCGGCTGCAACATCGCAATTCACAAGAACATTGAACAAGCTGTTCGACTGCCTGAACTCTCGGAGGCCAGACCATGTTCGATTCAACGAAGCACAACACATTGCTGTGAGATTATTACATGTGTTATGAAGTGTTTTTCGTGTACTATAGATGAAGCATAATTTTATTCCAGGTGTTGAAGGACAGCATTGCATGGCTGGACAACTGGGAGAAATACATCAAGACATTACCGACCCAGAGGCAAGTCTGCTTTCTGAGTAAGCAGACATGTGGAGCCCTCAGACTGACACTGCATAGCTCAGTTGCACTCATCGAGAGCTTGCTTTTGTCTGGGTTTCGTTACGTTCTCGTTGGGAACTTCGGACAAGATCCTCTAGAGGTACACATGATGACTTTTATGTGTATAAATGTGCTATGAATTTCTCATTGTTGCGATAAATTGATTTTTTCTTTCTAGAGGTTTTTCGGCATCGTCAGGCATGTTGCTGGTGACGGAGGGCAGCCGACTGTGCAACATTTTTTGTTCATCTATCGGATGCTCTCTGTAAACAACCTAGTTCGGCCGCCAAAACGGGCCTCGGTCGAGGGAGATGGACCCCAGCTGTTGCTCAAGCTCCAGGGCCTCTTTGACAAGGGAAAACCTGCCTCCAGTCAGGTAACGTGCCCCTTGCTTTTATTTATTAGCTCTAGTTTCTTTTTTTCAGGAGCAGTTTCACTACACAAATGACCAAATAACCAAATGAAACATAATGTGTTTTTGCATTTACGAATCTCAACTTATACATTGAAAGATTTGAAACTTGGAATGTATTTTGCAGATTGACATGTTGGCGGTCCTCTTTGATGACGTTCTTGAGGAGCCGGGAGAGGCAGTGAACAATGCATCCGTGCCTGACGTTACGCTCTCCACCAAAGAGTGCATTCTTGATTATCTTGCCGGTTACGTGGTAAAGAAGTTTTCAACGATAAGCTGCACTGACTGCGTGGGAACACTCAAGAGCCAGACACGAGAGCCAACTGACCTAATCCAGAAGAAGTCAAGAGGATTCCTGCAAGTGCCCTCATCCCAGCTTCTCAGCCTGTTGCGCATTGTGGAAGGACATGTTGAAGAACTGAATGTGGACACAGTTGCATGTGCCGATGTGTATGCGAACATTGTTGACCAAGTTTTGCTCGACAGCCGCATTGCTTCTGCTGGTGTGGGCTGTAGGTTGCACTATGTGGGTACCACAGCAGAGGTTGTTCATTTTTTCTTGAGGTGCCGCCTGCACTTTTACACCAGGGAAAAAAACAAGCTGACATGAGCGACGCGGCGAGCAAACTGCCCAGCAAATGGTGGCAACAAGCCCCATGGGTAGCAGATGTTCTGTTTGTCATGCTATGTAAAGCCCAACTGTTGTGTTTTGTGTTTGCTAGTGACAAAAAAACACTTGCACATTTGTGTTCCTAGTTGCTTGTGCGACGTTGTTTATTTCCTTTATCCGCCATGCTATTGCCGTAAACTTGTATGAATAAACACTTGCACCACAGCCGCGGCGCGTTTTCTAGTCATTTGCATGCGCTTGGCAGCTGCCTGCGACGATCAGCAAGTGGCCAGTCAGGTTACTGTCATCTGTGTGGTGGAACCAAAATCCACGGCGGCGACATTTTGATTATCCAATCAGGTATTTTGAATTTGCAAAGCGGAGCATGGCTAGCTTTGCCTGTATTTCTTTTTAAATTTTTTTTAGTGTCCCCGCCGCGGTGGCTCAGAGGCTAGGGCGCTGTGCTGATGATGATGAGCCCAAGGACGCGGGTTCCCAGCCGCTTTTCCGATGGAGGCGAAAAGAGAAAACGCCTGTGTTTTAGAGATTCCCGCGCATGTTAAAGATACCTGGGTGGTTAAAATTATTCCGGAGAGCTACACCAGAGTCCTTCAATGCTTGAAGGACTCTGGCTACACTACGGCGCGCGCCCGATTGCCTGCATAGCGTCAGCGCGTTAAACCTCATAACCAAGTAATCAATTAACTTGTCGTTTTGGTGGGACGAGTGTGTCAGACACTGACCATACGAGTTTTTCTGTTGACACCCTATACCTATGTTGACAGCCGGGAAAGTCGCTCAAGTGTGTAGCATTTACTCCTACGCGCGCTCATTATGCTGCTTCCATTTCGTGAGCGTTTTTCTTCATCATGTTGATGCTCACTTTCCAAACCTAGGTTATTTTTGTACATTATTAGCGCGCTATAAAATCGCGCAGACACAGCGCTAACCCAACGTGCTGTACGTTTGCACACCTATTTGCTAAGCGCAGCATGTCGCCCAGGGCTGTATATACCGATTTAAATCTGGTGCTAGTTAACTCAAATGCAGAAAACTGCAAAGACTACTCAAAAATCGAAAACGCCAGATGTCCTCCTTCTCAAAGCGAGAACGTAGCGGCCGTGACTACCGCAACGAACGAACGCTGCAACATATACGACTCAGTAACACGCGTGGCCTTGCCTCTATTTCACAACTAAGCTAAGCGTCAACTGAATCAAAAACACGCACACTTCGCTCGCGTCGCTCGCGTTTTTACAGGTCGCGTTTTTACGGGTGGAAATGAAGAGCAGATGAAATTAGGCGCATTGCCGACGGAGAAACAGCCGGCCCGCAAGCGTCGCCGGCCGCCGGCGAAGCCTTCACGCTAACAGGGGCGATCCCAGCGGCAGCTTTTGTCCCTGAATGAAACTTCGGCCGGAGTTTCGTGACCAGAAAAGCATTGAAGGTCTCTGGTAGTACGTAATGATACCCTTTAGAAGAAGAAAAGGTCCGACGATGTCTATGTGTACCTTGCGGAAATGGTCACCGGCCAGTTGAAACTTTTGAAAAGGACTCTTTGTATGTCGTTCTATTTTGCATATCTGATAAGACAGTCAAGCTCAAACACTGTTTTTCAGATCAGTGTACACAGTAAACAGGCCACAGTTAACGTTCACTGATGAGTTTTTCCTGTCACTCTAATGCCCGCATGGGAAAAGAAATAGATATGATCGAATATTCTTCGCCTTAGTGTGAGTGGTACAAAAGGCATTGACGAGCCGGTCGACATGTCGCACTCAAGCATCATGGTAGTACTTGGTAGAAGGAGGTTTTTGAACAACAAACTCGTCGACGTACGTTTGCTTTGCAGGTCTTCATCCTCCAATTGTGCTGTAGCAAGCTGTACGTACGGCTGTCACCTGTGTCTATTTTATTCCTTCGACTCGGCTCAGTGCATCAGCCGAATATTTATCGCATCCTTGACGTGCTCAACGTGCTTTGAAAACTCGCCAAGGTAGGCCAATTGCCTTGTTTCTCTCGGTGTGTAGTTTGTTCATTCAGAGTTCAACGCACAAGTCAGTGGTTTATGGTCGGTGAAAAAGAGAAAGCGAGGTCCTTTGAGAAAATAACGAGAATGCCTTACGGCGAGGTACCATGCAAGAATTTCACGACCAAAAACACTCTAGCGTTTCTTGGGTCCAGACAGCTTTTCCGAGAAAACGTCCGAGGGGTTTCCAATAGCGGTTAATGAACTGCTGAAGAACTCCTCTAACTGCTACACCAGAAGCGTTTACCGTAAGACCGGTGTGGGCATCGTGCTTCGGATGCATTAAGATAGTTACTTCAGCTAATTTGCCATTATTATCAAAGAAAGCCTGTTCCGCGGCGTCTGTCCAGGCTGGCGTTTATGCGGCTAATTTCGCGTAAACCAGTGGTCTTCGAAGGGTTCAGCTGTTGTGGCAAAAGAAGCTATGAAACGCCTGTACAAACTCACTAAACCGAGAAAATTTCGGTGTTGTCGGATTGAGTCTGGACGACTGTAGGTTACAATGACTTGAGCCGGGGCCGGACGTGGCGTGATGCTAACGCTGTTTACAATATGTCCAAGAAACTTCACGCATGTCTCACGAAATTCGCGATTCTCCGAAATAATTACAAGACCATGCTCCCAAGGTTGCTTAAAAAGCAAATGGAGATGTTTCTTTTGACGAGCTCGCTACGGAATTGTCATCAAAGTAAGAGAACACAAATATTAGTCTGTGGACGACTACGTCAAACTATTGCTTGAATGTTTGTGCAGCGTTCTTGAGAACAAATGGCATTCACAGAAATTCGAACAATCCAGAGGGAGTTGTGGTGGTGGTTTTGGGAATATCTTCCAGAGTCATGAAAACTTGATGATATGCCTTTGCGAGATAAATTTTGGAAAATATTTTGGTCCACGAAGACTGGCCGTAAAATCCTGAATGAGCCGCAGGGGGCATCTATCAGGACTAGTGAATGCATTCAGTGCACGATAATCTCCACATGGACGCCAATCAACGCTTTTCTTGGGTACCATATGTAGAGCTGATGGCCATAAACTATATTTACGGACGACCAATGCCAATCTCCAGCATATGTTCAAATTCGTTTTTAGCCATGATTAATTTCTCTGGTGCTAAGCGACGAGGCGATACATGGCATGGTGGGCCTCGAGTGATGATGTGATGTTTGACGCTAAAACAGACAGGTTTATTCCAGTCCAATGATATTTATACAAGTCATCATTAACATCAACAAAGGCACCTTAAAGGCAATGAAGATGACGATTGAAAAAAAGCTCGTGGGCGGTTGCCACTCCGCCATCTTGGGTCAAGGACACTGTGTACTCCGTCTACAATCGTTAAATATAGTTCTACCCTCTGCCTACCCTCCCCCCGTGATATTTTGTTGGAGGTGCCGGGTAACAAGACGGAGCTACGCAGCGGCCGACGCTTGGTTTGTTCCACGATGGCACAGGAGGGTCCGTCTCCAGCTCCCACAGCGGCCACCGCAACGACGACAGTTGTTCTGCCCCAGCTGAAAGACCCTGGCACGTTCTGCGGGACCGACAATGTCGACATTGAAGAATGGTTGCCACTGTACGAGCGAACAAGCAGGAATTATGCTGGTGAAAATTCTATTTACCTGAAGGGACAGCCAAAGTATGGTTTGAGAACCGCGAAGCAGAAATCGGCAGCTGGGGTGTGTGCAAAGAAAAGATGCGTGAACTGTTCGGCAAATCGACTGGCAGAAAGACAGTGGCCAAGAAGGAGCTGGCATCTCGCGCTGAAACGTCATCGGAGTCTTACTTGTCTTACATACAGGGCGTGCTCGCCCTTTGCCGCAAAGCAGACGATGGCATGGAGAAGTCCTAGAAGGTAGCGCACATGTTAAAAGGTATTGCCAATGACGCGTTCAATTTGCTAATTTGCAAAGACTGTGACACAGTATATGCCATTATTCGAGAGTGCCGGTGTTTTGAGGCCGCCAAGAGCCGACGCATTTCCCATCAGTTCGCTCGACTTCCCAACACCGCAGCAACATGGTCGTGCGAAGACATACCTGTACCACAGGCACCAGTGACTGAAGAGCACGTCACCAAGATCATTTGTCGAGAACTTGAAGCTATGTCTCCCGCTTCAACTTTCCCTCGTGCTTGTGAGTCCAGCTCCCAAATGGTGCCTTTAGTGCATGCCATCGTTCACCACGAGCTTTCGAACGTTGGCCTGGAATATGTGTGCACCGCTGGCCCCTCCCAACCGACTGCCCGTCATCTGCCAGTTTCCTACGCCCAAGGTCAGAGGTTCCCAGCGCGCTCTCGCAATCTCGCTGATTGGAGGACTGCTGATGACCGGCCCATTTGCTTAAATTGCCATCGTGTTGGTCACGTGGCCCACTATCGCAATAGCAGGTGGTATTGGCGTCAGCCTTCCTATGGCTACAACCGTCGTGCAGAGGCAGATGATTGCCACTTCGGAACTCGTCACGATTCGCCTCGGCCATTCGGTGGTAACGGTTCGTCGACGGTGCATTGTCAGTCACCATCCTCTCCCGGCCACCAGTCCCGCTCAGCGCTGTCTCGTCGCCCATCGCCACGCTCACCCCAATTTCGCCGTTCTTCACCGACTGCACATCTGGTTCGCGAAAACTGGACGATGCAGCTCCCAGAGGTGATGCTGCATCGATGATTCGCCAGCCAAATCCTCTGACTATGCCGACACGACGCAACCTCATAGACGTTAAAGTAGACGATGCACTTGTTGTTGCCCTTGTCGACACAGGGTCCCACATTTCGGGGATGAACTCGGAGCTTCGCCGCCGCCTTAAAAAGGTTTTAACACCGCCCACAGTGCCGCTCATTCAAGTCGCCGACGGTGGAACTTTTCCTGTGCTTTGGATGTGCTCCGCACGTGTTAGTGTTGCTGACCGCTCCACAACTGTGCTTTTTGCTGTGCTAGAGAAGTGCTCTCATGAACTAATCCTGGGCATGGACT